GACATTTGGATCCAGTCTCGACATTGGACTTCAGACATATTGAAGAGGGATTATTTGGGACTTGTAACAAGACCTGGTGTTGGTGACTCTCGCATCTCCCCCTTCCTCTTCTTCGTCTGATCCCCTCTTTGTCTGTGTATGTCTGGACCTGGCGCCTCTTTCCTGTGTATAGCGCCAGGCCCCTTAACACCTTGTGATGAACATGATGTATGTTTGGTCTGCGTCGAAACATTGATTGGGCTAAGTCAATGATTCTAGCATCCTGCTTCGCTATCTTGTACTTCGTGAAAGAGGTCAGTCCCGGTCAGGTCAGGACTTGTATCTAAAGTCTTCCCTGCGCTATAAAGCACCATTTTGTATGTATCGGAGTGCACATTGCTTGTTGAGATTCCACTTGCACTGCATTGTCCATTCAGTCCTTTTTATCACATTGCGGATCCTCGGTTTATATGTACATTGCCCAACTGGGCATGTAACATGGAGGCTGGGCGTTCCTCTTCCCCCACAGCGCTGCTCCAACCAACGCCGTTCCAGCAGCATGTCGCCAAACTTGCACGCAGCAAAATGAGGAGGAGCACTTCACTCCTCTTGGAGATGTAGTTTCCAACTTGCCTCTTGGGCAGTGACTTCCAGGCCGTGCCCTTCAAGCAACCAGTACCTCCTCCCTTTCGGAGGGAAACATCATTGCAGACTCTGATATCTCCCGCCTTCTGCTCGGTCTCGAGTACTGCTAGCCTACCGAGGAGATGAAGATGGTGCCTACCATAGCCAGGTAAGTACCCCTGACACTCTCCTCCCTAGTCCCCTACTTCCTCCTCCTACCCACTTCCGTCCACCATAGCCAAGGTGGAGGACTGGGTGCTCCTCTTCCCCCAGCGCTGCACACTAGTGGTCCTCCAGGTGCTCCAGCAGCATGCCGCCGCCCAAACTTTCACCCACCAAATGAGGAGCAACTCACTCCTCCCTGAGATAAAGCAGCCAACCAGCCTCTTAAGCGGTGATTTCCAGGCCGTTCGGCCTCCCAAGCAACTGGTACCTCCTCCGTTTCGGAAGGAAACATCATTGCCAACCTGATATCTACTTGTACAGGCCCTAGGCCTACACTACCGGACCTCTACCCCTAAAAGTACTAACTTTGTGTTTCTTCTGCTCAGCTTACCTCTACTCAAGTGCTACCGGCACCGACACTACACTACTTGAGTGTGCCCTAAGCTACCCCTTCGGCCACTGGAGTGTTTTTCCCCGCCAAAATCCCCAAAGTCCCGGCCACAGGTAAGTACTGGGCCCGTGGGCTCGCAAATGAACAAGTGCCTGGCGGGCCATACACACACACAGACAAAGTCCAACGAAACAGTCTGGCACAGTGATGCTTTTTTTGAGTGTATAGCGAATATGACAGCGCACAGGCCGGCAAGCACTCAGACAGGCACACGGAGCAGCTATCACGCACACACACAGACTTAAAAAACTCAGCAGAACGTGGGAAGCTCAGCAAGCCTGAGCAAGGTGTACATTCCAGTGGCGGAACTCAGAAATCAGCAGTGTTTGCAGTCCCTGTGTCTGTCATCCGATGACTCAACCATAACGTGGACATCCACACAATGATGAATCTCAGTTTCTGAGCTACAGGACTTGCACAAACTTCTACCGACACACACAGCACATCCTATTGGTGTTGTAAGACTAGCACCATCCAACTTACATGAATGAAAGTTAAGAAAACGTTTTGGTGTGGTTTGTTACACAAATCCATCTCTATAGCCCATTATGTTTAATGGGTGTACGCCTGAGTGTAGTGATTCCCAGGTTCTGGCCCTCACCGGACAACCCCCCTAGCAGCCCAGGTGGTTCCACTACCAGAAATCTATGTGAACAGTCTGTGCTGGTCGCAAGCAGTGGAGAAACATTATATGTGCGAGTTCAGCGTTGGACGAGGTGTTCCCAAAAGAACAGGAAAGTTTACACGAGTAACAGATGGCCTTTCAACCGTAAGGAGATGATATGACCGTCTGAGTACTTGGCATGTTCAAATACAGCCCAACTCATATTTCAATATACGCTCTGTCTCATGCTAAAAAATGAAACACTTCTATCTTGAATGAAAGAAACCCTAGATAATATCGAGAATGGTAAAGGCCTACAGGTATTGGAGCCTCCCCACCCAATCACTAGACGCAGTGAAAGAGAATGGATTTCCGCCTGTGATCGTGTTTGTCAGGACAGGTCAACTCTGAAGTTGTGGGAATGTAACAATTACAACAGGATCTGGGAGATAGTGTGCTGAACTTTGGTGATTTACCATCAAGTGACACAAATAGCCATAGGGTTTCACATGAGAACACCATCATTTGCTGCTGAACCATCTGCATTGCATCCCAATGATGGGAGAGGCTGATGTAGTGCAATTTTCGGGCGACTGATTGTGGACTCGTTTCAGGTATTCGTTGACAGTTCCTTGGTTTCAGATTGAGCATCGCGATGACTCGAAAGTGGTGTGTAAAGTTTATCTCCCCAGCAATGCACCAGAAAGTGTTCGTCTTGTGGAAGGTCCACCATGTTCGAATAAGAAAAAAGCACGGGAACGTGCATGCCTGCAAGCCTGCCGGCTTCTTCATCAATGTGGGGCCCTCAATGACAACCTTGTACCAGAAAAACCGGATGACGTTGTCCTGGATGGTATGGACATGAAGAATATTCCATTTCCGAAGACCGGAAAATGGTTCCAGGAATCCATTCCACTTTGTCTCCAAGGTGACTGGATCACTGGAAATGAGCAGGGGGAAGATGATCCCAATGGAGGAGTTTGGCTATTTGCCTACGGATTATGCTTTGAGGACAAAGGTCTGAAGGGGGTCGATGTTCCAGAAAGAGAAGCAACAAGGGAATATGCTGAGCCCAGGAGTTACATCTTGCTGATGGAGAAGCAGATGGATGTGGACACAAGTCAAATGAAAGTGCCCCTGTTCTTTGCGCATAATGTGTACTCGGCAGCAGCACTTTCTCCAATGGGAAGAGTCTTCATACCATGGGCAAAGGTCCGTCAAGTTCAAACTACTTCTTCCTCTGTATTTGTCATCCTTGTGTGGGCCAGTTTACAGATTCCGTGTACAGTTAACTCCACTTCTAATTGTGTCCAGTTTTGGTTTAAACCATGAGCATTGCACTATGCTCACAAAAAGGTGGCAGCACAACCCTCACTGCATACGGTGCATTCACACCAGTGAATTCGGAGTTCCTTCCTTGATTTCCAAAGGGATATGTTGTGTAAGAATCTGTGTTGGGCTGGGACAATGTCTCAAAATTTCATTCGTCGAAGTCACAAAATACAAACATTTTTTGCGAAGTATCAGTTATACCACTCCAAAACTTGGTAATATCTTATAGTGCCCTTGAAAAAACACTTCTTTCAGTTGTGCCCTTGAGACTGCCCAACTCTTACGGGTGTGAAGGCTCCATTTTGTATGGTCCTGTAGTAATTCATATGGTCGCCCACACACGGAAACAAACATATAGAGTATTATAGACAGACATGCGCACACCACGTTCAAAGTACGGCAGTGAAACAACCATTGCCACACAAAGAACCATTCAAAGTACGGCAGTGAAACAACCATTGCCACACAAAGAACCATTCAAAGTACGGCAGTGAAACAACCATTGCCACCCAAATGTGATGTCTGTGTGTTTAGGTGGAAAAGGGCTCTTGTTGTGACCGTTAAAAAACATACAGAATTCGGTGTACCCTTGTTTTTTTTTTTTTTTTTTTTTTTTTTTTTTTTGTGTGTTTTTTTTTTTTTTTTTTTTTTTTTTTTTTTTTTTTTTTTTTTTTTTTTTTTTTGTGTGTGTGTGTGTGTGTGTGTGAGAGAGAGAGAGAGAGAGAGTGGAGCACAAGGGGGAGAGACACAGAAAAGGTTGGTTTGCTCTTTGCTTGTTTGTACGCAAGGATGTGCATCTGTGCGTTCATGTGTGTGTTATATACCCGATTGAACTTCAATCCACAACGAATTTACACGTTCCCATACACGCATGCAATTGCAGACTAGGAGGAGGCAAATCCACCCAAAACTGCAGAGAGAGAGAGAGAGAGGGGGAGAGAGAGAGAGAGAGAGAGAGAGACAGAAAAGGTGGGTTTGCTCTTTGCTTGTTTGTACGCAAGGATGTGCACCTGTGCGTTCATGTGTGTGTTATGTACCCGATTGAACTTCAATCCACAACGAATTCACACGTTCCCATACACGCATGCAATTGCAGAGTAGGAGGAGGCAAATCCACCAAAAACGGTAGAAAAGATATGCACAGCGGAAGCTCGAAATACACACAGAATAGAAAAATGAATTTCAATTAATCCCCTGTCCTCCTCCAGTCAATCCAAAGTACTTGTTCCAAGAATCACAACCGTGTTTACAACAACCCCGAACAACCAAAAACAAGTGTTCAACGAAGTCTTCAGCAGTCTTCTTCTTTCTCCTCGCCACCTCATACCCCTGGCTATGGCTGCTGCAGCAGCAGTCACCCCACAGCTGTCACAACCTGCCAGTCTGAACCAGCAACCCCAATGATAGCAGCACCAGCTCAGCATCTGCACGGCAGTGCAGCGCCGGAAGTCCTGATGAAGAAGGAGATCCAATCCAGTAGTACGAAGAAGACAAAAAAAAAACGAAGTTCCTGTTGAGGAGGAACGACAGATATGGCTGCCAAGTGAAGAAAGGCAGCGCCCAAACCCAACAACACAGTCCTGTGGAAGCTCCTGTGCAGAGCTGCTAAATAGCAGCAGTGCGATCTCGAACTTCGTGCCCCAGCCCCAGCTATGGCTGGCTTCGAGGAAGAAGATGTCCTCGCCCAAAATAACACAGCAACAACTCGGCCACGGACGGGCAGAGTTTCCCCAGCCAAAAAACGAGGAAAAGACCCGAACTATATTTCCTGCCCGCTACTTCTACCCTCCGCTAGACCTACGACTTCCTCCCCAAAGCAACAACCCAAAACCTATCTGTATCTAGATGGGAACAGGGGGAAAGGGGGCCTAGACCTATGACAAGGTAAAAGAAAAGGGCCGAATGGCCTAGGACTACCAAACAGAGACTACTAGTGACAGATGCAGGGATCAAGTCCTGCAAAGCTCAAAACATGCAAACAGCAAACACACAGGCAACACAGCAGAAAAAGGTTGCGGGATCAAGTCTCAGCAACAACGACAAGGACAAAATTAGTGTACAGCCCGCTTGTAGCACTGCAGTTCATTGCATTCCTACCCTCCCGGGGAGTGAGGACCCGGAGCTAGGAGTGTCCACTAGGAGACTGTCTGAGCAACTTCCCACTTTGTTCAGCCTCATAGAACCGCACAACTGAATTGGCAGACCTGAGAAGTTCCTTTCTTGTAAACCAACGGTCCTCAGTATGAGGTTGGAAGAGGATAATCACATATCAGGGCCAGTGGTCTTCTTCAATGCTCTCGACTTCATATCCCTTTCCGGGGATAGGAGGCCCAAACTCAGGTGGCCGATCAGGAAATGCGTCAGCAGGAGTGAAAGGCAGCAGTTTTGAGGCATGGAAGAAAGGTCCTGATATGTGGCGGCACAACAAGTACATAAGAAGGCCCAAAAGGGTCTGCTCGCACAGTATCAAGTACCTGCCATGGGCCATAGTATAAAGGCAACAACTTTTGCGATATATCTTGTTCATCAGTTAACTCTGATCTTTTCACCCAGAGCCAGTGACCAGGCCGAATAGGAGAGGGAGAACGATGCTTATTAGCCTGCTCTATCATCCTTTTTTTAGCCTTGAACATGTTTGTTGTGGCTTTCTCTAGGTCTTTCTCATAACTCTTGGTGAACTCTGCAGTCCCATGAGTTAGTTTAGGCTTAGTTTTGTCAAAGAGATCGTCAAGAGGTTGTCATGGGTCCTTGGCAAAGTGAAGCCTATAGGGTGTAAAGCCTGTAGTGCTGTGAACGGAAGTATTATACATAAGTTGAGCCCTTGACAAATGTTTGTCTCAGTCCTGTTGATCAGGTGTGATCACAGGACACAGCAACTGAAATAAGACTTGGTTCATCACTTCAGCCTGTCCATTGGCTTCAGGATGCCTGCCAGAAGTCATGTCTATACTGCATGTCAAGGAATGGAATATGTAGAAGCTCCTTTCACCATTTCTGATGGGATATATGGCTCTACATTCTTTTTAGCTACTGAATTCCATGGCTTTCATGTCATCGTAGGAACCATTTTTCTTATTATCTATTGTGTTCGTCAGTATATGGGTCATTTTACTCGAAGACACCATTTCGGGTTTGAAGCTGCTGGAATGGAGGTAGCCTTTACAGAAAGACTGCCATTCATCGGTGCAAAACATGGGGTCTCTGTCATTGACAATGAAGGTTGGGCACCCACGGACAATAACCCACCTCTCAGCAAACAATTCTCTGACCAAAGGAACTTTGGCCTCAGTAGGTAAGGGAATAAACTTGGCAAACGTAAAGAAACGATCAATATATACCATTACCTGTCTCATGCCACGAGGGGTGGTCTTGCCCGAATCAGTGAAGTCAATGGGCACTGACTCACCTGGACCATTTGGAATAGGCAATGGTTTGAGTAGCCCCATAGGAGGTCGCCTTGTTCCTTTGGCATAACTCGCTAGTCTCTAAGTACTTGAGAATATCCAATGGTTTGAGTAGCCCCACAGGAGGTCGCCTGTGGACCTTGTTCCTTTTGCATAACTCGCAAGTCTTCAAGTACTTGAGAATATCCTCCTTCATCCTTGACCAATAAAAGCGTTGGGTCAGGGCAGCATAAGTCTTTAGGAACCCAAAGTGACCTCGAGAATCGTGACTCTCTGAAATCATATGAGTTATGGTCTTGGGATCATTAGGAATGCACAAGTGTTTTTCTCCTTCACTGATAATGTATAGGAGATCTGAAGTCAAGGCATAATGTGGCTCAGAATTGGGATCCACCTGCAGATTCCTAATAACCTGCAGCTTCCTAATAATAGGGGCAAAGACAGGGTCCTGAGGCAACACATCAACAATAGCCTGGCGTGTGGAGTCTCCAAATGAGTAAGTATGAACAATAGCGGCAAATGTATCAGGCCTGCGAGAAAGAGCATCAGCTACTCTGTTATAGCATCCCTTTTTGTGTTTAAAGTCAAAGGAATCAATGAACTGAATATACCTCACCAACTTGTCATTCAACTCCCCTGGGGTCTTCATCCACTGCAAGGTAGAATGGTCAGAGTAGACCTTGGAAGTGTCTTCCTAGTAAGAAGTGTTCCATTGTTTGAGGGCACGCACAAGGGCAAACAATTCTTTCTCATAAGTAGATGCCTGAACTTTCTGTGCCTTGATTTTCTTGCTCATGAACTCCACAAGCTTGAGGCCAGACCCGACATCTTGCTAGTCAGGGAAGTGGCCACAGTAGAAAAGTTTCAGATAAACTTTCTATAATAAGATGCCAGGCCCATGAAAGACCTAATGTCCCTAACATTTTGTGGTTGTGGCCAATCCCTGACAGCAGCCACGTTGGAGGCTTTTGGGGAAAGACCATCTGTAGAAATGACATGTCCTAAATACAAAACAGAAGAGGCACCAAAATATGATTTTTCTGTATTTATTTTGTATTTGTTATCCTTCAAAATCTGCAGAACTTTTCTGAGATGATCAGCGTGGTCAACAACATTCTTGCTGAACACCAGAATATCATCCAGATAAACCACCACAAAACGATCAAGAAATGGTTTGAAAATTTTATTCATTTCTTTTTGGAAGGTTCCTGGTGCATTGGATAACCGAAAGGGCATGGCCAGGAACTCATAGGTGCCATACCAGGTTTTGAAGGTTGTCTTAGCAACATCCTCCTCAGCCATATCGATCTGATGATACTCGGATTTCAGATCGATTTTGTTGAAAACTTTGCAGCCTTGCACCATATCCAACAGGTCATCGATCCTAGGCAAGGGTTCTGAGCTCTTCCTAGTGACCTTGTTCAGGCCCCTATAATCAATACACATCCTAAGTTCACCATTTCCTTTGGGAACAAA